TCCCCAAAACATCGCGATGTATCACAGCTTCTGCCAGGCGACAGCAGATGCCGGAGGACGGGCTTTTCTGCAAAGCCCACAGATGACAAGCACCAAACCTCAGGGGCTCAGAAGTAGGCTCTGATGCGCAGTCCGCCCGTGCCATGTGCAAGAATGTCAGCGTACAAACTAGCCGCAGTTCAGGCCGGGGCACGAGCAGCACGATTTCTTGCGGTGTCCTTACCAGGTCTTGTTAGTGGTGCCTTCATGTGAAACTTGCAGGTGCAGTGCTCGGGGGGCCTATTCTTGCGATGATCTGCGATAGCCAGTGGCAACAAACTTGTGTCAAAGAGCGCTCTGACACAAACCAGTTCATCCGAAAGTCGCTCGAGCAGTTGAGACTGGTCTGCAGGCGGAACGTAGAAGCTGAACATCCTCTCACGGACATGTCGATGGCTGAGCCCAGTGGGAACGACAGCCCGTGCAGCGCCTCCGGCAGCAGAGAAGGCTGCTGGGCGAGCCTCCGGGTGTGCAAGACGACAACTAAGGAACACTTCCAGTGACAGCCATCACTTCGCCTGCGCACTAGATTTTGGAGTGTTCCATCCTCAACTCCGCCTGAGACACGTGCGGGAGAGCTGCTAGCCTTCCCAAGCCCTAACTGGTCTTAAAGTCTTCGACATCACGCTTTGCCCACTTCTGCAAGAGTGCCTGTCGGATTTTTGCCAACAACCTGCAGCGACCACCGCCACTGTTCCTAGGTCCACTTACATGTCCGTTCAGCCACCCCGGGAAGTCAGACGGCAAGAAAAATGCATGGATTCCCGGATCCTTGCTTCACACCACCAAGTCACAGCGCCGTCGCAGGCCATCCTCGTGGAGCCCAGACTAATCGCATCGTGCTGCAATCCTCCCATGAAGGCTCAAGATGCTGCAGCTCATGCTTCTAAGTGCCTCAACCTGCACGACCAACATCAAGGCTGAGGCACTCTGCTGGGGCATGGCCCACAGAAGCTGAAGCACAGCAGCCCATTTCTTTGCCTAAGCTTTCTTGCACGGACGCATCTCATTGCCGCGGCTGAACCATTTCTTCTTCCACGCCACCTTCTCGCATGCATGCATTGCTGCATTGACAGCGATGACATTCCTGACGTGCATGCCGGATGCTTACGACGAAAACTTCTCAAGCCTATCCGCGCTGTGTGTGCTGCGTCTTCCAAGCTGCCAAGCATCAGCTGCAGCAGAGACGCGGCCATGCCTTCGTAGAGACCCAGAGCTGCCTTTGCATTCTGCACGAAGGCAACTGGAACAGTCGCAGCGCCAAGTACCAGGGCCGGAAGATGCTGCAATTCTTGTATATACTTCACAAGCGTTTATCTCCCGAGCATGTGCGGGATATGCCAAGATGCCTGCCACTGACCGGATCGTGCACATGCACTGATAGCCGCACACACACTGATGTTGTCTGGCCTCAAGTCCTGCGATTTGCAGGGCTTGCATGACGCTGCATGGCTAATGACTGGCTGTGAGGCGTGGTCTCAGCTGGCAAGGCTGTTCTCGGCAACAGGAGAGCAAAAGTAGCTTGAGCCACGCCTTGAATAATAATCAAGAAGTGAATTCTTTATACGACATGACCTCTTAAGCATGCCGAAATCCAACAGTTCCGGGAGAGGCTGCAGGTTTTACAGGAATCTGCACCCGAAACCACAAAGGGAACACAGGAACGAGCTCATACCTGACCCAATGGTTGATGCAATGCACACAGGAAATGCCTAAGAACTTATCAGGTTCGGCACAACTCATGGGTTGGACCTTTGGTATCTGACGCACAAGAATTGAGGACAGCGAGACATACTAGAAGAACCAACAGCTGAGTGGAGAGCTCCAAGACGGTCATAAGACTCGCGAGTCTCATAAAGCTCAGGTGTGCCTGCTTCGCCATGCCGGCGAGCAGCACCAAGGCCATTGCCCAGTTCCCAGCACGCTCGCATGCAGTGATGGCTGAATTCACACAGATCTCATTCAGCATGCCACGTGCGGACCTTATCTCAAAGACCACGTACGGAAGGGGCTGATGATTCACCTTGTGTCGGCCCTGTGTCGGCGTTTTCGAAAGACAGCCGAGTGTCAGCTCCGACAGGAGGGCCACAGCCATCTGCCACTCTCCAGCCTCTTTCGTTGCATGCCAGGCAGCAAATCAAATATGTGTCAACAAAAAACTCATCCAAGACACTTTACGCTACTTCCGTCGATGCAGCAGTGGCGGGAAAGAAACCCCAGTAGCTTGCTTCTCGTGCTGCCGATACATTACACACATGGATAGTGAAATCAATCATTGTTCAAAATGCTAAGGTGTTGCACTCGAGAAGGTGCCTTCGCACAAGCACCAATCACAGCACCATAGGCAACGATGTCAGCAAAAGGGATCTGTCGCAGCAGCTCCTGCGACAGACACATGAGGCTCCAAAACACTCTGGAGTCTTGTCAGGAGTGGCCTGCTAAGATTCTTGACTAGGTGTCGCGCTAGGAGCTCCCCAAAAAAACGGAACTCTCAGCAGGGCTTACACTGCGAAACTGCCCTTCGTCGCTCCAGTGACTGCTTCCAGCGCCCCAGGGGCTCCAAGCCAGAGACCACCGCTGTGTAGGAGATAGCATCCTGCCCAGGTCGCCCCCGAATTTTCTTAGTGTCAAGTTTGGGATCAAGATGGATGTGAACCTTGTGCTGGGTTCTCACAAGAACACTCCCAGTCACAACAACTCAGCTCACAAGACCGGGAAAAGTTTGCAGCCATCGCAAATAAGACAGCCAAAGGCAGCCTGCTCCAGCTTCTCTTGCGCCATCCTGGAAGGAATTACCCCGACGTCCAAGCCTACACACGGGACCATTGCCAAGGCAGTTCAATTCGCTGACTGTTCAGTTCAATGTCAAAGCCCTTCCGCTCGGTCCCGCCCATCCCACCCAGCCTCGCAAACAGATCCAGCACACTGAGCCACGACTCTGCTCGTGCTGAAGCTGTCAAGCCCTAGGCCCGCCAGATGGAGGGCTCGGAGGTTGTGTTGCAGGTTGATGAAATCACATGCCCAGTTGCAGTGCTTGCAACGATACCGTTGTGCTGCAAGCTCCGGACCTGAACAAGGCTATCGTCAAGGTGGACACAAAGCACAGTTGCCTTGCTCGCCGAACTTCCGAAAGCGCGCCTTCATGCTGAGAAGCATCTGCATGGCCCATTCCCAGTGTCGGCGCGTTTGCGCACATGCACGTATGGCTGCCGCATACGATGCGCTGCCTGACACCACTGCGAGGCACCGTGGAAGGAAGCAACGCAAGATCAAAAACTGCCTCGAAACACAAAGAGCAAGCGACGGCCCTGATAGCTAGTCGACCCAGTGTCTCATTTCGAGCCGTCAAGAGGCTGGCCACGACACCTTCGCTCGCAAGCCTCGTGGCACTAGGCACTGACAATGAAGCTTCCTGGCGCAGCTAATGTCCGCTGCCGCGGTCCGCTGACGGAAGTTTGTAGGTGCTATCATAGGAGCTGAGCCAGGATCTGCACCGCAGTTGCCCATGCGCCACCATGTTTGCAAGCGGCAATAGCCTCGCAAGCCAATGCAAAATTGCCCGGCTCACTAAAGCTTTCCCCGTCAATGCCTTTCTCAATTAACCGGCCGCTTTGAAAGCGGCCGAGAAGAGACTGCAAATCCGGAGCAGCAAGTCCCAGCCAGGAACGCGGAAACTTCGCCCGAAGAGGTAGCAGTTGGTAACAGTTACATGTAGCAGGGTTGCTGCACTGTTGGGAGGGATGCCCATGCAGTTCAGAAACCTACGCAAATGATAGGAACAACTTGTGAAGGTTTTTGCTCCGGGTGGATGCTTCCCGACCCCCACCACCTCAGCCCAACCGCCCCAACTATCTCGGCATCTTTGATGAATGCAAGATTTGTCAAACCCTGTGATGCGATGTTCACGTGCATCAGTTCGCGCTGTTGGACACACATGCATCTAATAGTGTACATGCTAGCCCGATTCGGCTTCTGCCCCGGTATAATTCGACGAAGCTACTACACACTCCGTTTGCGTGAGCGTGTGCATACCGGTTTGCGTGCAATGTCTATGTTAAACTCGTTTGGGTCAGGAGCAGCCGAAAAAGTTAGGTCTACAACCCTCGACACACCCCCCAAGTGACAACCCGGTTCAAGAATGCTCTTCAAAGTGTGGCTGGCTGGAAGCTAGCAACCAGCTGCTGAGTTGGTCATTCAGGTCGGTGAGTAACTGACTCACTCGTTGGCTGCTTGATTCATCAGCTACAAGTAGCTGGTCACCTGGTATTATCGGTTGTTTGCAGAATTCTGTGCCCAATAGCATTGTCACATATTCGTATAGCAAAAACAAGACACATCCCACTCAAAATCAGACTGCAGCAGCAGCCTTGCAGGCTTGGGCTCCCGCCGCATTGTATTGAAACAAGGACGCCTGCACTTTCGATCGCTGCACTGACCGGAGCCTTGCACATGCAAAGGTTTCGGGACAGTTCACCGACCCTCATGTAAGTGCCGCGGTCAGCATGTTTCATGCACGCCAAGGGACAGCTGCGTGCAGGCGGCCGGCCGGCCATCCATGGCCACTTGGCAGAACTTTCCCCATTTCTGCGGCCAACAACCGTTCTTCTACCGACAGCTACTTCCAGCAGGGTGCTCCACTAGTAGCAAGGCGAGGAAACCCAAGGTCACTTGAGTTGTCGTCACGTCAACACTTCCCGGGCTAAACCTGTGCACAATCAGCAAGCTCCGGCTTAAACCCCTGTTGAGAGCATCACGGATGAAGTCGGTCATCTGAACATGAAGTCACAAAATAACAGAACATGCTTGAAGCCCTGCTCCGGCATAAGCGGAAGTCAGTGTCGGCACCAAGTTCTCAAAAGCAATCGTTTTCTGCAAGCTGTCAACCTGCGTTCCTGATGCCTTCTTCGGCCCTGCCAGCAGCAATGCTTGGGATTCTGGTCTTTGGAACTGTAGCCCCCGGCGACCGGCGATACTCCGTGTCTACGGGCTCTTCGAAAATCGCGGCCTGAATGCAAAAAACGATCATGACTACCACCTCCGCGAGGAGAAAGACAAGCAAGACTACCAACCACGTAGTATTCTATAGCATCCATTAGGTCCACCTGGAAGCCTGGACGGAGGACTTCACTCAGCGTCAAACAAGTGTAGTGCGGCCGTCAGGGCTACAGCCAGAAGCACGACTATGAGGAGATCGTGAGTTCAACCCAGGCGCCCCGTTTGCTTGCTCCAGCTGACCTCTTGCCCTTCGACTCTTTTTGCCCAGCCCGACCAAGCTACGACACAGCGATTTCTATGTCAAAGCTCACCGCCTGTCGCAAGAGGGCCAGGCCTACATAGTGCCGTGGGCGCACGAAATCAAGATAAGGCTCAGCTGTCTTGCTCAGCTTCTGAAAGTCTTTCTGTGCTTGCAGCAATCTAAGCCGTTCATCGTGCGCCCTGTGCTTGTGCAGTTTCGTTAGCCTTGCCAAGCCTTTTCAGCCAGACATACGTACGGGGGAGAAGCTTCTGAGCTCCCCAAGCTGGATCCGTTGAGAGTGAAGACCGAGTCCGTGAGTCGTCGGAAAACCTCGTCAAACCTCCGTTCCCCGTAGAGCATTGGCAGCATTCTGTTCGCAGCCATGCTCCGAACTTGCTCCGAACGCAGCTGGCCCCAGGCAGACCAGTTCTCGCCCTCCTCCGGCTGAAACTGCTGGAGATGGTGCCAGTAGTCGACCAGCATGGCAGCCAAGTGGGCGGACGCATAAGCTTGCTGCTGCGCCTCGCCCTGTTGGTCCGCCAGTGGGCTAATGTTTTCCTGCAGCAAGAAGGCGAGAAAGTGCTGGGAGAGTGCATCAGCGACGCTCTCGTCTTCAATTGCTTCGGAATCCGTCTGCCAAGACTGCTCAGAATCGGCCACGTACATCTTCCAGGCCTTGTCACCAAGTTTTTGGTGTGTGGCCGTCGTTACCAAACTGGCTAGCGGGGGTTTCGTGATGTCTCGGCTCCAGCAAGGGCTCGGGCCTCGCAGTAGGCGCGGCAGAGGGCTAAGCGGCCACTCCTGTGCCAAGGGCCCCAGGCTCCAGCCTGCTCCCCGCTGCCCACGATGTTGGACCAGGATCTTGAAGGAAGCCCAGGGATCCTGCTCTGGTGTCAGGTACCAAGCCTGCAAGGAAGGGCTTTGGAGGCCTCCGGCTCGTTCCAACAAGTGGCCAAGACCGTAACCAAACGCGAGCTCGAGCAGCCAAATGGGTCCATAAGCCTTCTGCTTCCAGCCCCACTCAGCACCTGCCATCGCCACCTCGGTGAAGTCCACAGATGTCGTGAGGTCCTGGAGGCCGGGGCATTCCAAGTGAGAGACGAGAGTGCATACATCGAGGAACTCAGCCCTGGCATCCATGATGTGGATCCCCTCGTAATGAGGTCGGATGGCAGCGAACCAGAGAAGAGCATCTGCATCGGCGCCATAGTCTAGGGTGACGAGGAAGCCCTCGTCCAGCAGCTGCGCCGTCTCCCGCACGAACTCTGCCTCGCCTGGACGAAGGACAAGTTTCAGGTGGGCCGCCGTATGGCCTGGGCCGCCCGTGCCAAATGCTGGGGCCGAGACGTCACGCAGGCGCGCGGCGTGTGCGAGGCGCGTGGCGTGGCGTCGCCGCCAAGGCGCAAGCTCACGGCAGCGCTCCGGCGTCAGCGCTAAGTAGATCTCCAGGCTCCGCAGGCGGCCCGAGAAGTTCGACGCATGGGGATCCGTACTGTTCGTGTCGACTCCGAATAGCAGTGCTTTCTCCACTTCGGGGCCTTGTTGTGCAGCCATGCGGCGCAGCTGGCGGTAGCGATCTTTTGTCAGTGGCACGGTTTCATTGGTCGTCCGTAGAAGGGCTCGGTACTGCTTCACAAGGTCACGCTCGCCATGTTCATCGCGATGCTCCACCTCTGCTTGGTACAGCACTTCGTGGTGATACTGGAGGGCAGAGTTCATTGCCAAAACGAAGGGAAAACAGCATACAAGCATCGGCGCGCATTGCCAACGCTCCTCTGCGGTGAGGTCCTCTGCCACGGAGAGGGCAACGCGGCGCAAGGCAGCAGTGGCGAGCAATCCACAGTAGGCCAGCTGCCCCTCATGTCGTATCATCTCGGCAGAGTCAGGGCCCTCAGGGTCTTTAACCAGTTTGATGAGGGCTTTTGTGTCGATGGTGTGCGCTACATAGGCCTCCCGGTATGCGCTGCACTCACCACAGCGCCTCTTCGAGGGTGGTCTCTGCAGGCGCCAGACCAAGCGGAGTTTCACCGGGTCGAATTCGTCCAGCAGCTCGTTGGACAACAAAATTCCAACGACGGGATGAGCTCCCGCCTCAGCTCCGGATCCGTCTCCGCTCATCTCAGCTTCCAGCGAGGCTCGAAGCGAGGCAGCCCGACGGCCGTCCGCAGCGAGCACAGTGAGCTTACTAGGCACAAACTCTCCCGCCGTAGCAGTTTGCGCTGAGCGCATGGCCTGAGAGCGCTCCGCGATAATGTAACGAGCCATCGACTCGTAAAACTCGCCGTGGGCATCTCTCGCGCGCCGCAGAACATCTCTGGCTAGCATGCCTGTCCCTCCGCCGAACTCGGTCACCACAAATGGCTTGGGACGGTCCATGGCAGCCCACATGGCGACAAGACGATCGCAAAGGGCATGGCCGAAATGAGGACTCAGCGACATCGGCAAAGTCGTATACGAGTTAAACCATTCCTGTCCTCCGGCCCCGGCATCATTGAGGCCATCCACGTGGAGGATGCGTCCCGTTGAATAATACCCGAAGTCTGGGCCATACTGGGCGTCTGTGTAGAAGTCCTGGAAGGAGTAGAGCTGCTCGGTGGAGAGGTGCGAATTCCATGTTCTTGCACGACCAATCAAGCAAGCAACCCAAAACCACAGGGATGCATGGTCCATGGCGGCATGGTGATTGTCACCCGCAAGCTGCGATCTTCACAGCCGATGCGCAATCAACGCAGTGGTTCTGAGGCAAGGGGTTGGATGCAACTGCCCAACATTCACACTCGACCACTTCAGGAACCTGACCCCTGTTCCTGCTCATGTGGTGAACCCATCATTTTTCATCTCTCATCCTGTGAAGCCATAAGAGACGACCGATTTCATTGGACAACGCGGTGAAGCTTTGGATCTCTTAAGGAACGTGCGCTGCGGTGCTGCTTGCCACAGATAGCATGGTAAATAAACCCACAACCAAAGATCGCAGGAAGCCACGTCTGACAAAGCCTTCTAATCACTCGTTTGAACTGTGGTCCAACTGTGTGGGCAGCTATCGACTTGACGGTTCGTCACGGATTAGTCTGGACCTTAACGCAGCACCCACTCGCAGGGCTGGCTTATGGAGAGATGTCTGCGACATGGGTGCGCCTGTGCTAGGTCTAAGACGCCGGCATAGGGTGCGTAGACGTCAAGCTGCTGCGCCTGTCGACCGAATCGCTGGCTGTGCCCATAAGATCTGTCCAAGCCACGACACAAACCAATTCCTCGCGAAGCGGCAAAGAATGGCCCAACGAAGCGTCAAGTAGAATATTCAGCGGTGAGCCTTTCGAGGCCTCTCGTGGAATTCGCGCAGGAAGGTTCGATCTCTGACTGTCAGCCTGGGGAGAACGGCTCACTGAAGGTAGACACTCAGTCCCGCACTGCACCCTTTGCCGATTCGACATGAGAAGGCTTCCGAGAGCGCAACGTGCTCCTAAATGATGGCACAGAGGCTGTTTTGCTCATGTACTTCAGCTCCTTCAGTCGACGGGAGCGCCGCTGCTGCAGGTCACAATGTTCTGCATGACATGTTCGGGAGGCCTTGGGATTCATCCTGGCGGTTCTCCGCACATCCTGATCCAAAAGACATCACCGATTCTTCAACACTACAAAGCATCCCATGCAAGCGCGCCTCACCAGCCTGAATCATCGTTCGATGGTCATCGAAGAGACGCTCCTGTCACCCGAAGCAAAGCTGCCGAGGTTGAGGTTCATCTTGCATCTCATCCCTCTAAAATTACTGCCTCTTTGAGGATCGCCTCTTGGAGTGCCCAAGGATCCGGCGCTCCTAGCAAGAGCATGCAAGAGATCACGAGCCGCTGACAAAATGCCTACAAGCTACTGTAGCCAACCTTCAGCATGTGTTCAATAAGTCTCACAGTACATTGCAGGTGGCGGAGATCACAACGTTAAAGTCACTAGAATACGTCTTAACGCTTCAGCTGCAAGTCAGCGGGATGTTCCTAAGACCATGAAGCGTGAGCAGCTAGAAACCACACAACCTCAAGTACAGCCATGACAGGAGCTGATGTGCAGGCGGTTCCTGCGCGCATGGCCGTGCGTCTGCACTTTATATGCTGGCCAGCACTAGTCTGTAATGGTATGCTGTGCTCATCCGTGCTAGGCTCTGAACATGTGCGCGCATGGCCGTGCATCTGCACTTTATGTGCTGGCCAGAACTAGTCTGTAATGGTATGCTGTGCTCATCTGTGTTAGGCTCTGAACATGTCCTGCTGAGAAACCACATTATAGACCATATTGGCAACCGTATGCAAGCAAATGCGATAACCAATCAAGGCTTTCATAAGGAAGGGTTCAAGAGGACGCCTTATCTTGTAGTGAAGTGTCGTGCACGCGTGTGTGCCTAAAACACTGTGCACACAAACAAATTAATTGCTGGTGAGTGATGCCTGGCAGCAGATAGCCTGAACCAGCAAAAGCTGCAAGAGTTTGACAGTTGCTTCAAGACGTGAACCTCGTACTGTAGATGCTGCTCGCATCTAGTGCTACTGGGCTGTGTCCAAAATACAGGCAGCCCAGTGCATTCACATGCAAAACCAGCAACCGCTTCAGTCTGAAGTTCCTTAAAAGCCTTATCAGAACTGTGACCACTGAGCCAAGCCAGCACTGCGAAAAGTGACGTTGGGATCTTCTCTGGTTTCGCACACTGTTCAGCATCGGTCCCACGCATGCTTCTCTTGCACGAGGGGGTGAAGCTTCTCAATTTTCTCTCCGGGAACACCTATTATACCTCTGAGGTGCCATCGAACCAAACAGGAGCAGCAAATGGAATGCTTGTTGTCGCACTTTTCGCCTCCGATTCCGCTGAATTCGAACCAATCCAACAAGCCATGAGCCACGAGCCTGCACGGCGGACCGTCTTCGCGCCCTCTTTCCCTTTTGAGAAGTCGGGCGGGCTGCACAGCAAAGCATTGAGAAAAACACACTAAACTACTAAACACTTCTATTTCGGGTACCTGCGTGTAACTACAACAGGTTGACCTCACAATGCCAAGGCAAGGCGGCAATGGCGGCAAGGCCAGGCAGGACCACTTGAGACTATGCTCCCGCTCAGGCCTCACCGCTAAAGCCCCAGCCCCAACATCTTCTCTTTCTCCTGGGCAGCAGCACTTTTTTGGAATTTGTCTAAGAGTCTAAGGGTTTCTCGAGCTTCGCTCTCAGTCCTGCTGTATGAACTGGAAGATTGCAGTCGCGGTTTCTTGGCTTTCCTGAGCATCGACAAACTCCCCATGCCAAGGGTGAAGAACGCAGCACAACAATGGCGTACACACGCGATGCATGTGTACACCATTCCATGTCGTTTTTGCAAACTTGACGCCCGTGCCCTGAAACAACTTGAGCATCCATGGCTCCAGATTTCTGTCTGGATGCCATTGAACCAACAGCCTCTTGACCGCTGCCTTCTGGTCTGCTTTGCTCTCATGTCTTAGCGATGACAGCTGTGAGCGGACGGCGTCCTGCAACAACAATACAATGCATTCATGACGGCCGTTTCCACTGCACAGAAATCTGAAACGTCCTGAAGGACCTGGTGAGGTCTGCTCACACGGTCTGTTTCCGCGGCCTTTGCGGGAGGCTGCCAACCTGTGAAAGAGCGATCGTCGGAAAGGGAACACGGGCAGCTAGACCTTTGCAGTTCCCGGCACGATGCTGATGCCCTTCCTGAAAGTTTGGTCCAGCCACGAAAACATGCGGTTTGGCACTTGCATGTATTTACTTGTAGACCTGGTCTGCCGCTCACGACTCGAGTGGTGCCGGTGGAAATTCACACAAGGTGACCAGTGACGAAGTCTCAGCACATCGAACCGAATAAGGTTTGGCACTTGGAGTTTCGATTTCAACACTATTTTGCACAGGCTGGTCGAAGTCAGCAACATTCGGTCAAATGCCTCGCAACATCTCGCAACCCAAGTCGACCCAAGCGCCACTCCGACTGTGCAAACAGCCTCCTCCAAAACGAAAGCCTTCCTGAGCCGCTCGTGCACATCTGGGACTGCCACCTGGCGGACGTGAACAAAACAAGAGTGTTGCCAACCTGACAGTGATCGAAGAAGTACCGAGGAATGTGAAGACAATCCAAGATAGACCTTTAGGAAAGCTCTACATTGACTCTACATGCTATGCAGGCTCACAGGACACAATCTCGTGCAGGAAACAAATCCAAGTATGCAGGGTTTAGAGTTAAGAGTGCTCACCTGCATTCATAACACCGAGGCTGACTCTGTGACAGCAGAACTGCAACAGCCCCATTTCGTTTCCTGCAGCTCATGTGTGGTGCGCCAGAGGATTGCAAACTCGCCCGACCCTGGAGATCCCTGGAGTTTCTGCACCATGCGCCGCCTGCCGATCCTGACTTCCGGATCGGTGTCTTCATGCCAGCAGATGTTGCGCGCGGTGGGGTCGCAAAATATTTCCTGAAACACACACACACACACACCGACACACCCACACACCCACCCAGCCAAACACTCACAGCACTACAGCAGCTCTTACTGCTGCTACTTACAAGGCCTGCTGCTGGCAGCGGCGCGAAACAGTGGCTCTGGTGCCCTGACACATCACGACACAAGAACTTGTGGATTCGACAGCACGACAATCCGTCACCATTCTTGCACAAATACCACACACACTTACCCATGTGCAGCATACAGTCCATATTCGACAAGCAGCTTGGATGCGGCGGGCTTGTTTGTGAACAACCGCGATGCTGCAGCACTGGTTGCTGCACGACCACGTTCGCGCTCGCGCCGTGCAGCCTCCCCGGCGGCTGCAACATCGTCAATAAGAAACGCACCCGACAGCTGAATTCGACCATGCGCAGTTGATCGACGAATTTGCTGCAGGCATCCACCTCGAATACAACAACCACCGTTTCCGTCTTTCTTACATCCGATTGCCAAAGACTCGAAACTATTGATAATTGCAAGAATTGCCCGCACGAAGCCCTTCATTCGGCAATGCGAATTGCACAAAGCAGGTAATAAAAACTGTCAGCACCTGCATTCGATGAGCAATGCGCGTGATGTCGTCCTGGACTTCGTCCAAGCATCTGGAAAGATGTTCGTTGCGCAAGTGCACCTGGCTGCAATTGCCATTTGGGGTTGGTATCAGGCTTTATGAGGGTTCGCTGCAGTCCGCATGGACTTCGTTCCCTCGCCTCTTTGGCAGCTTGGTCAATGTACGCAAGTCCCCGATTCACTTGCCTCAGACATGGGCCACTGCGTGCCGTGCACCGCACCGTGCGCTGCACTCAGGTAGCCGACTCTGTTTTGTGATTGGTAGATGCGGCCTGCGAAACAAGTCGTCGCTCATCTGCACATGGAGCCGACGACGTGGTGATGACGAACTGCTCGGAGAACTCGTCCTACTCTTTGCGATGTTTGGCAGTCAAAGAATATCAACAAAAACTTACCGACGTTGACAGCCGTCAATTCACGCCACACCCTTGTACCTTTTGTCCCTATACTTCTTCCAGTCGCAACTGTTTGCGTTTGCTCGAAAAAAAACATCACGGTCCGGCGATAAGACGTCCTCAAGCCCGGGTCTTACTACCAGTGTTTTATAGCGCTGCGAGATCACGGTACCGTTTGTCGCCAAAGCATTGCTAAAAGTGCAGCCAGGCATAGCAGAGTAGGAAAAGGATGTGTGGGGCGGCCACCAAAAGCCCGGAACATTGTCTCATCGTTGCGACGCGGTTGGACACCCTACCCTGACTTCGTGAAACCATGGGTAACTGACCCGGGTAACTGGCTGCGTGGGTGGCCGCTTCATGTGTCGACGACTGCGAGAACCCCGAGACATGTTTGATCTGTAACGCGCATGGCCGCTTGTGCTTACTGCGCGATTGCCATTGCGTTCAATGTGGCATGTTTGCGGCAGAGAACCAAATGCTTGGCGGACAGGAAGCGGATGCAACAAATCCGTGGTTGCCTTCCTCCTAGTGCCCCTCGGTTACGTTATTTGCGACAGCAGCACTATAGGCTTGGTAGCTTGTCAAAGGCCATGTTTACAGAAGCCAGCCGTAGTCGGCGTAGACGGCAGCCTTTCAGGCAAACAGGAAAACATGGGAACATGAGCGGGAAATCATGAGCCGGACTGCGAGAGGTGCGCAACATCAACCCGACAGCGTTGCATGTTAAGCTCGTCAAAAAGAAGGGCCAACTCTAAATCGATGCGTCAGAGTCCAGTGTAGGGTTCCGCATAGGCATGGCCGTTGTTACACCAGCTCCCTCCAGCGCGGTGGCACGCTCTACTGGAAAATGGTGACACCATTCGCCCAATGTCCACGTGCATGCGCAAGCATGCCACCATGCCCTCCTGGAACAGCACAAACAAGGAAACACGCGGATGCAATTTCCGGGCGATATATTGTGTCAATGCCTCGCATAGCAAAAGTTGCTGGTGTTTCTGACATTTTCTGACCGCCACTGCAACTGGAACACCCGCGCCCCCGGCATTACCCCGCAATCAACAAGCAGCAGACTGCCACAGGGCTGTCTGGCATCTGATGATATCCGATAACGCATAAATTGGGCCATCAACTTTCGCACTTACTGCTAACTCTATTCGATTGTAGGCGTTGCTTTCCCTGCTAATGATGGCGTCACTCGTTACTGGGTCAAGAAGCTCCAAGCGCACCTGTTCTCGGTGAGCCAGGCACGAAGTCTGTTTCGTTTTGCGCATGCCTTTCGTCGAACAGTGACCGCGGTCCCAGTGCACGTTAAAGCTGCGGCATGCTGCGGCCTACGAGCTGTTCGGTTTTTTTTGTTTTTTTTTCACGCACCTTTTTCGACAATCCGCGACGCGGTCCCAGTGCAGCAGGCCCAAACCCAAGGCGACGTCCTACGGCGTCAAGTCCAGGCTTGCAGGCACGGCAAGGAGCTTTCAAGGGCGCGGTGGCAGACGGCTGGCCAGAGGCTGGTCGGCGTGGACATGGGCAGTGCCGGCAAGGGAAAGACCAAGCAGACTGGCACCGAAGGCTCTCGCAGCAGAACAAGCAAGCAAGGCAGACCATCGGGAGGTGAAGGCTGCGATGGTTGCAGGTCGCAGTGGGCGAGGGACGGCGCGGGCCCGGCAGCGAGCGAGGAGGCGGACAAACTGGGCAGCCTCTGAGCTCCAGCGGCCTCCGACCTCGAGTGCAAGGACAACGAGCCTGCGCCTTTGCGAGCGCAGTAGCTCGGGGTAGGTGCGTTCCGTGGACCTGCGGGCAAGGCGCAGGGCGGCGCCACGGTACTGTCGCTGGTGCCGGCGCGCAGCTCCACTGGCATCGAGAGGCGACACAAGGGTGGTGTCGACAGCAAGCTGTGCTCCGCCCCAAAGGGGGATTCCATTTGCGATGACTTCGATGCGGCGGTCATCGAGGCGCTGAGGGTGGATGTTGAGGTTCTGCACGAGGACATTGTTGGCAACTGTAGTCCCGGCCTCGCGGCAAACACGGGCAGCAGCTCGCTCGAGCGGGAGGCCGCGGGACCGCAGGATGCCGGAGCGGGGGCAAGCAGCGCGGTGGTCACCGAGGGGGTCAACGGTAAAGGCCCCAACTGGGACTCGAGCAGGGCGAGGGAAGGAGGGTCAAGCTTTGCGCGGAAGCGGCCAGCGATGCTATCGTCGATAGCACGGGAGGCCGGCCGCTGCCATCCTCGAGTGGTGTCGACAAGCTCGCGGGGTCTGCTGGAGCAACGGGGGGAGGGCAGGTCACCGAATCCAGGCGGTTGGAAGCCATTGTCGCGGAGAAGGCGGACCGCAGCGGCAAGGGAGCTCAAACAGCGGGGGAGTGAGGGGGCAGACGCTGCGTCATCAAGCAAGCGAGCAACGGCGTGGCAGGAGTCAAGCTCACGAACGCGGAGTGCCCCGAGCGAGCCAGCCCAGGATGCAAAGTATGCCGCAGGCGCGTGCTCAGCGGCACTGGCGTAGTCCAAGGCCACCATGGCGCAAACACAGGTTTGCACACGCGGCTGCGGATTGGGAAAGGGCGTCCGCGCCGTGGGCTTCGCCGGGAGCAACGTGGAGCAACTGGGCTAGGCAGCTCAGGATGTTGCGGTCACATTTTCCAATATGGCCTTCAATGCGAGACGACTTTGTACAGTTCGCGACGGCTTCACGCAATTAACAAGACACCCCACCGTTGTCCCTTGTCCTGAAAGGACCGAACCGTAGTCTTCGTGACTCGAACGGGCAAAGTGCAAAGTGCAAAGTGCTGGTGGGAGCAGGCGAAGGCAGTAGTGCACGCGAGGTGACGCACTGAACAACAGCAGTAGCCACGAGACCTGCTGGTCATGGATGCCAGGGAGCAGCTGGAGGAGAGCACGGTGCTGCACTGAACGGTGTTGGAGCTGCACAGCGACGTACTCGTCCGTTCCAAGGGGGCTGCCGAGGACACGCAAACCACGGTCTTGCGGGGGAAGGGCTTGGTCACCAACCCAATTGGTGCACCCATCGGGAGGGGGCGGGAGATGGGGCGGGCGTACACCAGCAGAATTCCAAACACGGGTTTTGCCGGCATGGAGCCGGATGTGCAAGGACGTGAACAGGTGGTGCCCGAGGCGCGACAGTACTGATGCAGGGCGTGCGGGCGAGCTGGTGACATAGATGTCGTCAAGAAAAGCCCGCACACGCTCGCCGGGGAGGAGCTCCTCTTGGAAGGAGCGGAGCGCCGGTGCAAGTCCAAGGGCGAACAGCGCGGGCATAAGCGGATCGCCCTGCTCGCCACCCTCGGCCTGGGGCACGAGGAGGGTGACGCGTTCATCGTCAGTCCAGACAAATGAAGACGGAGCGCCATAAAACAGGCGGACGAAGGGAAGCATGGCAGAGGCATCGGGTGTGTGCTGGAGCTCGGTCAGCATGACTCGGCGGCTCACGAAATCGAATGCACCAATGCCGTCGACAGAAAGGACAGTGCAGCTGGGATCCGAATCGGTCTCGAGTTGAAGGGAGTGGGCGAGAGCCTCAGCCCCAGCACGTGTGGACAAGGCGGACTGGTGGGGGCGGGTTGCTTCATCTATGTGTCGGCTGAACTGCTGGGCAAGTGTGCGGGCAACCAGACGGCGGAGGAAGTCCACGGACGCCACCGGTTGGCTTGCGCAATGCAACGAGGCGGCCAAGGCCAAGCGCAGAGCGATGGAGGCGGGGAGGCGGGCTCTTGCGAGCAGCAGCGCGACCCCGCTGAAAGCTTCTGAAGAGTCGGCATCGTCGAGGAGCAATGTTGCGATGTCGGCTGTGAGTCCACTGGGGCCGGGTGCAGCGCCTCGGCGCGAGCGACGCAGGTTGGCAAGCAAGGCAGGTGCAGGCAGCGCGACAGGCACGTCAGGGAGCCAGGACAGCAGATCGGGGTCAAGCGGTGCGTAAGGCTGGCTCGGGCGGCGGTCAGGGTCACACACTTGCTGGAGGGTCGCTTGGTCGCCCGGCGCAAGAGGCTCGCTGAGGAGAGCGCGACGAGCGGCAGAGAACTCGCCCAGGCGAGCGAGGTGGACAGCCCTGTCAGCACGATGCTCAGCTCCAGACTCGGAGATTGGGGCTCGGGCCGGCGGCGCTGGCCACTGCAGTTTCACTCAGGAGCGTGGCCCAGTCCCCGCTTTGGAAGGCAGCGACGCGCGCGCAAGGCTGCAGCTGGCAAGCGGCTAGCGACCAGCGGAGGGCCGCCTCGGACCTCGGCAAAGACTTCGTGGAGGTCGGACGCCTTTCCCGCATCGCAGTGGCGTGGAGGAGTGGTGGGAGGCTGGCCGCACGGTGCCGGGCAAGCTGGCGAAGGAAAGCGGCAGCTTCAGCACCGAAGCGCCCGGCCCCCACTAACAACGAGACGTGCCCGTCGCTTTCAAGCTCAGGGAACGTCGGGCCGCCAACGGCGAGCGGCGGGCTGGACGGCCGCGCCGGGGCGGTTAGCGGCACCCGGCTGCGGCTCTCTGCTGAGCTTGACAGGACGCGAGCAGCGCCCCGTGCTGGAGGGGCAAGCCGTTTGCGACGACCTCAATGCAACGCGCGTCGCTAACGGCAAAATCGAGGTTCTTCTCAGCGAAGCCGTTAAGCGCTGAACATTCATGTTGCGCAGGAGGACGTCAGCTTCGCGGCACACGCGCTCTCGCCAACGCTGCCCTGCGCACTCCGAGAACACCATGCAGCAGTTGGGCACCTTGTGCGGTGGTCGCCGAGCGCATCGAAAGCCTCCACAACGACACCGACGGGGCAAGATAGAGGCAACCCTACCCGTGTTAGCAGCAATTAGGGAAGTTAGGGCACGTGAACCGCCTTGGCCTGCCTGGCACACGGAGCCGGGTGAAGATTGGAGAAAATCCTTGCGCAGGCGGATGCGTCCAACCAGGCCGTGGCGGCTAGAAGCCATCGGGTGCACGCACCCAAGGCGGGAGGCGGTCGCCCGCCATCCGCAAGTTGGTCCCACCTCGACCGGCGTTTTTCAACTGCGCAAATGCCTCTGCGAGTTCTGCTAGGTTTTGGGCTGCCGGGTTTCTTGATTGCATACTGCGGAGGGCCTCCACCACATGCGGGGTGACGGGACTGGTGTCTGTCCAAGGTTCCCGGTGCCAGCCATTGTTCCCACGATCCAGGCCCAGCACCCGAACTTCAAAAGCTTTCAAAAGCAACGTCACGCGTCTGCCACCGAGGTTATCAATGCACATCGCGGCATTGCCCAGGAGGTCTTTTAATGGCATTCGATTCATTCGCTATGTGCGCAAGCTCGTCCGTCAGGGAGGGTACCAACCCACATGGGCGCCCCCCTTTAGCGCCGTGGGGCGCAGTGAGGTCGCCTTGACCTACTGCGTGATCACAGGGCTGCCTGCCTGCGCAACTGCCGGAATGTCTGCTGAGAAGCCGGCGCGTGTGTCGCCGGTCATCTCAGCTTGGCAAAACACAAACATCGATGTGCCGGCAGCCAACGCAAACGCACTGGCCGTGCGCTATATGAATGGCTCGCAGCAAGCCATAGATTCCACGATGTTCAGCCCCGTCACCAGGGCCGCTTGGTTGTTGTCGGTGTCGGAGTCGGCAGCCGCAGCCACCTCGCTCCGCCTGCTCGCTGGGCCCCGGGCGTACCTGTGCCTACTCACGCAGCTTTGGTTGCTCGCTGGTCTGGCCTGCTGGCAGTCGTTGCGCAGCGCACCATCGCCGCATCGCTGCTGGAACGGAGTTTAACCTCGCCGGGGGAAGCGTTAGAGCTGCATGAGGGGCTCCGATGAGGCCCTGGCGTGGGCGCTTCCGCCCGCCTGCCGTTGGGAACTTGCAGTGCGCGTAGCTGCCCCGGCTCTGCAGCGCCTCCCCGCGTGGAAACCACGTGCCGCCTGGCGCGACGGAGGCTCTTGAGTGACCCTGCCGTGTGCGCATGCGCCGGGTTACCCTTGCCTCCACAGCCAGGCTCTTGAGTGACCCTGCCGTGTGCGCATGCTCCAGGTCACCCTTGCCTCCACAGCCACTGGCTCAGCTCTCGCAGTGCCTGGCGCACCCCCTTTTGCAGAGCTGCATGCTAGCTTGGGTGTCGGCTCGGCATTGCCCGGCGGATCCGGGCGGTGGGCTGCAGCCGGGCCATCTGCTGGATGCACAGCCGAGCACTTGCATGCTTTGCTAGATAATGAAGCTGCTCGGATTGGCTTCTCTATGCCGCCCAATTTTTTGCCGCGGGACGTCTTCCGGCGAAGATCGTTGAAGGCCCCGTCTCCGACAGTTGGGGCAACAAATGTCCGACATTTTCCGTCGCAGGCAAAAAATAACTCGAACCGAATGCCGATCGAATCGCAGGCACTGCGCTCTTTGCGGACTGCTTGCCGACCATTCGAGCACGAGCGCCGCAGGCAGCCGCTCGTCTGGTCCGTGCAGTGCAGTCCTCGACCGAAACCGCATTTACCCTCACAGCGTGTCTGCGCGTTACGCGGCCGCTTACCTCCCTCCTATAGGACCCTCGCGCATCGGGATCACCCCTGTTCCGCGTGTTGCTGCTACGACGGCTTCGCTTGCCGCTGCCAGTTGCACCTCGCTCGTGCGCCTGCCGCGGTCGCTTTGGCCCGCTCGACCACAGGGCTGCATGTGCGACTTCCGGCGTGCTCGCATCGCGAGCCCTTCCTCTCGAGCGGGCGGTGGCGAGGGTGTGCCAAAAAGCTGAGGCGCGGGTCGTGGCTGACCTGAACATCGAGGCCCCGGTCGCCGATGACCACCGCATCAACGTTGTCGCGACTGGGCTGTCACGGCGCGCACAAGGCTGTAGATGCCACCATCATCAGCGGGCGGGTGAGGCCGAGCCAAGCAAAAAAAAGTACACCTCCGTCGAGAATGGTCGAGCTGTTGATGCTGTTGATGGCTGCCCGACGCAAACGCCACCAGACCTACCCCGAGTTTGCGCGTGTTCGGTGCTGCCGCTGCGAGGATGCGCGGCGGTACCGTCAGTGTGGTATCGTCGAGGATGCCATCTGCGCTTAGGTGCTTGTGTCATAGTCAAATTTTCTAGATGCTTTACGATGCTGCTCCCTTTTTGAGGACTGGAGGCAAATCTGGATGGCCAGTTTTTCGGCCGTTGGGCGACGATTTTTGCATTCCTTGTCGGATGAGGAATCCTCAATTTAGTGTTCATGCCCGTGGGTCTGCGGCATACACCTCCTGCGATATTTCCTCACATCACTTTCGTGTCCAAGCTGGTGACCTTGGTGGTTGTCGGTGTCGAGGTTGAGGGCCGGTTTGTTGCAGAGGTTGCACCTGTCTCCGGATGCTCGCCGCACAGCATGCGTTACTCTAGCCAGCGAGGACGCGGCGACGGCGCGCTGTGCAGCGACAGCGAGTAGCCCCGACCAACTACGCCGCATGCGCTGCAGCCCGCATGGCCCATGTACGTCCGACCGCGAAACAAAAGTCGTCGACTTACGTGTATATGCTGGGTGTGCCATGGAACTGCCGGGCTAGAAAAAAATCGAAAGCTAGCCGAGGCCGGAGGGACGGCAACGACACAGAGCGGGCGAGGAGACGCCAAGCATCATCACATGCCACCACATCAGCAACGGCAGGCAAGCAAAGCTGACGAGGCATGCCATCAGCAACGAAGGGAAACAAAGCTAGCAAGGCGGGCCGTAATTAGAGTAAACAAAGATGGCTTCATCACATCCAACCACATCGACATTTCAGAAGCAGAGTGAACTCGTTTGAGTCTGGGCCTAGGGGCCCGGCCCACTGCTCACACAGGCAAAACCGAAAGCCTCTCCTCGCTAGGTTTCGTGACATGTGCGATGTTGCAATGGGCACTGCCAAACCATTGATTGCGAGTTGCTTGGAATGTGTTTCTCTGGTTGGACTGGCACCCCTTGAAACACGTGAAGAGCAGGCCCGCTGCTGGAAATCACGAGGGCTATCACCCAGGATTGCATGCCCGTCGGTATACACAGCGAAACATGCAAGAATGCAGGCACGCACATGCTATTGGGATCGTAACTGCCGGCTCGTGGTTTGCACGCGAGTCTTCGTCGGGAAAATCATGCAAGATAGCTCACCGCAGCATCCTTTGGCGACAACAACAGCGACCGAGACACATAGCATTCGCTGTTCGTGTGACGGTCCAAACATGATCTCAACCGGAGCTTCCCAACTGCCTGACTTTGTCTGCTGTTGATTGCTGCTGATGCAGCTCTTTCACGCGCCTGGGTGGAAACATAAGGAACACGCAAGAGAAAAAACAAGAACATCACCGATTATCAAACACAAAAGGCGGGTTTAGTTCAGACCTCGAACACGTGCAGCAACCACATCCACGCTTTCGGCCTTACCGCTTTAGAAACTACGTATCTTCGATACTCGGCATGCGAGGTAACAACGTTTTGCAGATGCTTTGGGCAGAGACCGGTTTTCCAGTGAGCGCGGTGCGTGCAAGTTCGGATGAGATGGGGTGTGGCCGGGGCAAGCGCCATGGTCACAGCGACAAGTTTCTCGAACATTGGCAGCAGCCCGTCTGACCGTCGGAACAAGCAACTGCCTGTGGTGACAAACCAGCAACCTTTGCATATCCACGGTGTCAGCGCGCCCTGCTGGCCTGAAGGCTCCACGTCAACGCACTGTCGACACCAAGCAAAGCAAATCAAGTCAAAAGCCCGCCAAGTGCATGGAAGGGAGTCCTTTCCTGTTCATTCTTCTGGGGCACGAACGAGACAAGCCACTCAAAGACAAAACAAATTGGAAAATACCAAAAGCTCTGAAAGCTAGCCAGGTCCGAGAATTGGTTGCCTCCAGCATGCGTGAATAACCCACGTCAAACATCATCAAACCCTCCACGTCAACGAATGCACAACATGATATGCCAATCCCACATGTTGACATGAACACCATGGGCGTCACGATGTCATGCTGCTGCACAGCTGGAGCTCGCGCCCCAAACATTCAACATGCACTGCCGCCGGCCGGTGCGGGTTAAACCGACTGCATTGGCATATGCAAGGTCTAAGGTTCGAGCAAAACCAACTAAGAACAACGAACCACCAAATCGATCTACAAACAATTAAATGGCGGCAGTGAGCTTCTCCTTGCTTCACGTCACATGTCCGGCATGCCCCGTGGAAAAAAGATGTCTGCTTGCGATCCCTGGCCCAACTTCAACCACAGCCCTGTCTCAGCTAAGCTCCATGGGTCCTCGTGACAAAGTCGCTGAGAAGCTGTGCAAATTCGTCCAAGATGTCTTCCTCCCCACCCGGCTCCAACGAACCTGTCATCCCAGCAGATGTATATGTAGATGCTCCGATCAATCTTTGCATTAACAACAACCAAATTGATAAAAGTCACACAACCTCAACAAGAAGCCAACGGCAGGTACTGCTACTCCAGTCACCCTGCAAAGTGCCTGCCATGCGGATGCTGGCCAGCGTCTCTGCGTTGAATCGCCGTTCTCCCGCAGCAGCAAGCATGTCGTTCAAAGTCCCGCTTTGTTCCAAGCCTGGTCACATCAATCACACGGGATACTCCCCAAGATGGGCGGAAACGAATTGCAAGGGAGATAGCACTGGCACAGCAACAAATCGTAAGTTTCTCACGCACCAACTCGGACACGTCCCGGACTCCAATGCGTCCCAGTTTGCGGACAACAGAAGTCCGATCACGAAGGCTCCATGTCGGGTTGCAACCAGCCAGAAACTGCTCCTGAAACGAACCGTTTCACCACCACTGCTGCTCAAACACCACATGCACTCTGTCCAGTGACACGTTGTCAGCATCCATGGGAGCTTGTTGGGAGGGGGCAAAGAAGCCGTGGCCGCGGCATTGAGACGTCAGCACGGGTTGCTTGCGCAACAACAACCAAACGCCACGAATAGAAGATGTTGCTTGCGATTACAAGCGTCAATTGTGCTTAAACCACTCAAGTTTCTGACTGGAGCTTGTGGTTTTGATATCCAAAGGTCAGCAACGGCTGCATGCAAGCCACATCTCCAAGCCACATCTCCGCCTTCTTCCAAACATAGCCAAATGCATGCTCCTACTTCCAACTTCTTGCTTGGCACACACATCAAACAAAATGTTGACCTCACTGGTCGCATACTTGTTGAATGTCGTGCAATGTAGGCAATGCAATGAATTTCCAATCAACCAATCAAACAAAAAACACAATCCGTTGAGCTTTCCGAACGTGTTACACTCTTCGCACGTATCGCAGATAGAAGCATCATCACACTTTCACATAAGAAATCTGTGTCGTCCTACTGCGAACAAGGAAGCTTGAACACTCGCTCCAAAAGAATTCGGCAACGATGTGCATTTTTAAGATGTACAGAGAAATGACAAAACACAGGGCCACGAAATTGCGTGGAAAGCATGTTTGCACTGGAAAACCAAAAAAAACACAGCTGCCTCCCGCGCTTATCATGATTGGTGATATTGCCTTTGTTTCGGCATTCTGAACAACATGACATGGAAAATGTCTGCTTCGATTCTGTGATGCTGGAAAACCGCATCAAAACATTTGACTGGAAAGCTTTTTGGAAAAGCAATCTCTTGTCAAGATGAAAGCTTTTCTTTGTCAGAATGAAACTCTCAAAACCAAAGGCTTTCAAAGGGATGGTGTGAAGAGTGGAAGAAAAAAACAAGACAAGAATGACAAGAAGCTCGCTCCAAGCTCGAATCAAGCAAGATTGAGCAAACTTCAGCCGAGTCTTCCTCCAAGCATTCGCCGCGACTCTCCACGATCAGATGTGTGTGGCCGCGAACTCCAAAGCTCAAATCCAAATCCGAAACCCAAACCCCCACAACCAACCAAAAGGAACAGGAAGAGAGAAACCTACTACCCTGATGTTGGACTGTTAGCACTGGCTACCGAAAAATTGCCAAGCAAGTGCGGTTTTTTTTTCCTCTGGCTAGACGGCAGAGAGATGCGATGGACCAGACGGGAAGTAAAATTCGTTGCAGTGGGAGCAACAGACTGATACCCATGTAAAAACCGCACGTCTCTAAAGCTTCAAGTCTTTTGACACTGGAAAGTGAAAATTTTGAATGTTTTGAAGAGTTTCCACACAAAGAAAATGCAACCTGAAACCACGCAAACTGTTGCCAGCCATTGCGTCCAACAAGCCTCTATGGGCTCCTTCCCCTTTGACGAAAGGGAGCTTAAGCGGGAAGCTTTGAAGGGACTTTCACGGAGCCAGCAAAGGCTTCGACCCTTTGCTCCTCCCCCTCGGGGGAGACCTCTTTAAAGAGGGCTTTAACGGGGCTTTATTAAAGGGTGGCGAAAGTCCCCCTTCGTCAAAGAGGGTGCGGCCCATCCTCCAACAAGCACGCAACTTTCATAGGAGAAGTGAAATTGTAAACTAAAGTAAAGATCGAATCAACTTGGAATGTGTCTCAGAAACTCTTGAGTCGAATACCAGTGTTTAAGCACTCGAAGCAGAAGGCTTTTCGCAGCCAGTACTTCCCATTGATGCTGCAGTGTCTCGCAAGTGGTCGAAACTCGATATTTCGAAAAACGTAAACTCTTTGTCCTGCTGTTTCTGGCCTGTGGATTTTCTGTTTGACAAAACATAGGGAAAGAAGACACAGGCATGCATCTTCCACACCGACTGATAACGGATGTGGAGTCTGAGAAGAAGCGTCCAGAGGCCGTATCCGTTTCTATGTGTCCGGACAACCGCCGGATCGAAGCAGATGTCGAACGCGCCAGTTTGGCAATGGCGACCATAAAAAACCAAGTGCCAAGCCGGTCATCCGCTGGTAGAAAAGCGTCCCACTGATTGGAGCTCACGAAACCCAACGAAGCCAAGGTTAAGCCATGTTCACAGGCAGCAACTTGCTGCAGACGCTCATCCAGCGCACTGGGCAGGCGTAACAACGAGTATCTCCAGCCAGCAATCTTCGTGTTTGTTTTGGCAAGATCGCAGACCAAGTCAGTCAAGTCCAACGGCAGAGAGGACAAAATTTCCAAAATCTTGAATGCTTGTGATTTGCTAGAGAAGTGAAAGCTCCAGCATCTCGATGCTGGTTGTGGGCATGGCTTCAAGATCCAAGACAATCGTGGCACTTCTTTTTTCTAGCAGACAGTCTTGTATTGTTTTTTTGAATGACAAAAAACATTTTCAACACAAAAGAGAAGCCCACAAACAAAAAGAAACAGCCACCAACGTTCAATTAAGCAATCTGTTGTCTTTCAATTCATGTTAGAACATTATGTCATGAAAATCAATGAACCAATAAATTAATTTTTCAAGAATATCCAAAAATCAATAAATCAATAAATCAATGTATCAATACTCAATGGGTGATAAGCCCAACTTTGGAAACAACCCCTGGCTGGAAAAAACCTTGGGCTGGAAAGGACCCTTCGCTGGAAAAGACTGGGCGGTGGAAAATGCCCCAACCAACTTTCACAGGCCGGTGGCTGGAGACAAGCCCGGCTCTGGAAATCGTCTGTAACTGGACACAGCCTCTCGCTGGAAAAAACCCCTGGCTGGACGAAACCCCTGGTTGGAAACAGCCCCGGCTGGAAAAAGCCCGGGGCTGGAAGCAGCCCCTGGCTGGAAGCAGCTTCCAGATGGAATCTGCCCTTGGCTGACAAGAGCCCAAGCCACAGCCCCAACCTTTAGCAGCAAGTTCTAACCGCTAAGGGTTTGTTACCGGTGCCAGCAAACCTTACCCAGCGCCCCAAACTCAAACAAAAACAAACTCCAAACTTTTCAGAGGAGCTTTGTAGGCCCCGAATATTTTGTAGCTGCTTGCAGAAAACAAATTTTTAAATGGAAGTGCAGGTGCAGCTCCGAGGCCCACGCCACGGCGCGGTATTTTGCCCTGGCTAAAGCAATTTTTTAACTTTCACCTGAAACCCCACGCCCCACAGCCCCAACCTTTAGCAGCAAGTCCTGACCGCCAAAGATTTGCTACCGGTGCCAACAAAGCTTACCCAGTGCCCCAAATTCCAACCAAAGCAGCTTGCAAACTTTTCAGAGCATTGTGGGCCCCGAATTTTCTGTAGTTGCTTGCACAAAACATTTTTTAATGAAAGTGCATGTGGGCCCCACAGCTCCAACCTCAAGCAGCAAGTTCTAACCGCTAAGGGTTTGTTACCGGTGCCAACAAACCTTACCCAGCCTCCCAAACTCAAACAAAAACAGACTCCAAACTTTTCAGAGCTTTGTAGGCCCCGAATTTTCTGTAGCTGCTTGCAGAAAACAAATTTTTAAATGGAAGTGCAGGTGCAGCTCCGAGGCCCACGCCACGGCGCGGCATTTGGGCGGAGCCCGGAACAGCAAAACCAAACATGCAGCTTAAACTGAAACGAAAAACTTTCAGAACTGCCAAGCAGAACGAGAGCAAAGCTAGCGCTAGTTCTGTTTCACACGGTTTGCGGTGTCCGCACGTTCTCTTCAGCAAGCTGCACAAAGAAAAAGTCTAAAAAACTTGAAGACGCGATTCGGCTGGGAAAACAGATAAGACTGCCCGGCTACGCATCTGCGACTGAAAACTGCGCGGCTGCAAACGTCAAGTTCGAAGCTTGCTAAAATAGACCACGACTACTTCCAAACACTCACAACCTCAAGGATTCGCACTCTTCGCAAACATCCCAGTCACACAACTCACATCGCCACGTGTGCTGTGCAACAGAACGAACGCCACACCAGTCCAATCATTTCGTCCCAGTGCACCAAAGAGACTTGCTTTCGTCCAACCTTCTTCGAGGAGGTGGAAGTGCTCAGTGGCTTGAGGATCAGTTCATGACCCTGGGGACAAAAAATTGTACTGACTGCAGGTGTGACTTCTTTCTTGCTGACTGTGGAAAGGATTTCTTTTTTAACAACGACCTCTTGTTTCACATTTTCCTGCTTCACAGGCAAAACGTTTTTGAGCAAGGTCTCCACTTTGACTGGGACACGAGCCCGCTTTGCGGGTCGCACGCAGACGAGCTCGTGACGAGCTCCACCTCACTTTCGCTGCTGTGAGCAGGAGGGGCAACAGCAGCTTGAAGAGCAGGTGCGGGATGCTGGGCCGGTTGCTGCTGTTGAGGATCCTTTAAAGATGGATCGTGCTTCTCTTTGTTGGGGTGTTGCTCTTGCCAAAACAAAATCTGTTGAAGCAAATCAGCAAAGGGATCTACTTTGCAGGAAGAGCATCCTGCTGTCCACAATAACTCAGCAAGCAAGCCACCGTAAGAGTTGCTGCTGACCCTTTTAGCAGCTTTAGTGCGCACTCAGGCCTTAAGCCTGCCAAAAAGCCCTTCGGCAGCGTTCGTGGACACAACAACCTCTTTCCCAAAGATCGTTTCCCTTCTAGAAAACTCTTTCTGCTTGTGGTTGACACCACGGTGGATAAAGTCCGAGTTCGGCTTGGACATCCAAGCATAACTCTTGAACTTGTCAGTGAAAACCAAGCTACCAACAACAGTGTGCCTGTGATAAAAACCTTTAAAGTTCGAGCTGATCTGTCGGGAATTTCAACCAACAAACAGCGTCCTGTGGCTTTGCGGGTGCTTAAATCCAGCTCAAGCATTCCAAGGACGATCTTTTTTGTTCCTGCAGTTGCGTGGCCACGTCTGCAGTTCTTCTTCTTTGTTAAGAACGTCTCGTCCACACAAGCAATTTTTCCGGCACTTCCGAGCTGTTCAGGACTCAAGCGAGCAACAGACAACCGCAAGATGTTTCTGATTCTGCTCAAATACCCCAGCCAATTCTTCTGGCTCACTCCTGCTTGTTTCCGAGAGCAGTTTTGTAGGAAAAGTCTGAAGGAAACCAAGACAGCGACGC